TTTTTTTTTTTTTTTTTTTATACGTTTGTATTCATATTTTTTGCTAGTGTAATATTTTTGTTTAATTCAAATATATATGGTGTATATTAATTTTATTAAAATGGCTATAATAATAAAAAGTGAAAATTTCAAAATAAATATATAGTAAAAATTATCAATGAAAAAATAAGAAAATTTTAATATAAATGATTAAAATATTTTAATTAAAATAAAACCATATAAGAAAAAAAAAAAAAAAAACATGTAAATATAAAATATTAATCTATATTAAAAATTATGTTAAGAAATAAGTTCCTATTTATTTTTCTCGTATTCTTAAATATTGTAAATAGTAAAAAGATTAAAAATATATTATCCTTAAATTTTTTGAGTACATTTAATGAAAATTTAAATAATGATAATTTTTTCTTTTCATATAAGAAAAAAAATAAAATAAATAAAAAAATAGCAAAGCATAAATTTGGAGAACATTTCATAAGGTGTAATAAGAGAAATGTTAATTTGAATTATAGTTATAAAAAAAAAAATGATAAAGAAGGGAAAATCATATTAAGAGAATCAGTTAGAGAGGATTCTCAAAAGGATAATGATGATATAAAAAAAGTGGAAAAAAATTATACTCCTGAGAGAATAGAAGAATTAAATAAAGAGGATTTATCAGTTAATAAACAAGAAAATGAACATAGTCTACTAAATTATAATAATAAAAATGAATTAGAAAAAGAGATAATTTCAGAGAAAATTGAAAATCAAAAAAATGAAATTATAAAAAAATCAAAGTTACCAATAATAGGAACACAGTTAAAACCTTCAGGTGGTTTTACAAAAGAACTTTTAAATATAATTAGAGAAAGTAATGATTATATTAATGTTATAAATCAAGAAATTATTAAAGATAAGGTAAATAAGAAATTAAGTGGTAATGATTTATCATACTTTGATAATGAAGAAACTTTGGAAGAACATGAATTTAATTATTTAAATAAAATATATGATAATAATCATGTTCTTAATATGTATAATTTTCTTTTAGTATGGAAAAAAAAAAAAAATATTGATTTATCTGTTTTTGTCTCAAAAATTACAGAAAATTCAAATATTATGCCAGGGGAGAGAACGGTAATAAAATTTTCTGAAATTGAGAAGGTTCAATATTTAAAAAAAATTAAAAAAAATAGAAATGTTTGTATAGCTATGATTTTTGTTGATAATAAAAACAACAATAATGATGAATCTGTTATTAATCACAATATGTTTCCTATTGGCATAATGGCTCACCCATTGGATATTTCTTTATTGGACAAAAGTGGTGAAATATCAGTATTAAATTTATTTAGATTTAAAATAAATAATTATAATGTTACTGAAAATGATTTTCTTGTAAATTGTGATCTATTTATAGACAATATGCAAAAACTTAATAATTTTGAATTAACTCAAGAAAATAAAAAAATCATTATGAATTTATATGATAAAATTTTAGATCTTAAAATAAAATACAACGAAAAAATTGGTAAAACTCATGAAAACGAAAAATTGAAATATTTAGAAAAAATAACAGATAGAATTGATGAATATGTTAATGTTTTAAGTACTAATAAATCAATTGATTTTAGATCTAATAAGTTAAATTTTTTTACATCATTATATTTGGAATATTTTTCTTTTTTATCCTTAGATATTCACGCAAATATACAAACCAAATTACAAATGATGTACACAGATAATACAGAATTACGCTTGCACAATGTAAAAACATTTTTGATGCAAATATATGATGATTTAAAATATAAATTAAAAGTTTACTGAAATATATATATCTATTAAAATTAAAAAAAAAAAATATCTTATGTAAAATCTAATTTATTTATTTATTTTTTTTTTTTTTTTAAATCACAATTTTTCAATATAGTATTCTCTTTATATTGTAATGCCTTCATAAATCACTATATCCATACATATTTTTTTTTTTTTAATTTTTTGTTATAGTTTCAATTTTGAAGTTTATTTTATCATTTTATTTTATTTTAAAAAATTTATATAAAATCAACTAAAATGAAAAATTATAAAATTAGACATAGTCTTAAAATTGTAAACTTATGCATGTATAATTTTTTTTTTTTTTTCTTTTAATAACTTAAATATATATACTTTTTAATTTTTAATACTCAATTTTCATTATTTTATTTTATTTTTTTATATAGATTTATTTAAAACTTTGTAAAGTTATAGAATTTATATCATTCAAGAAAAAAAAAAAAAATAAAAAAAATTTTAAAAAAGCTTTATTGATAAAAACATTTTTATTGTTATATATTAAGTAAATAATATATTTTTGTTTTTTTATTAAATAAAAATAAAAATTAATAAAACTTTTTTCTTCTCCTTAAAGTATAGGAATATATTTTAATTTTCTATAAGAAAATATTTTTTTTTTCAAATTTTTATTTTTTTCTGCACTGAAATATAAGTAATAATTCAGATGTGGGATATATTATGTATAATTTTAAAACAGAAAAGAAAAAAAAAAATTCTTATACAATATTTTACGTAGTTATATTTTAAATGAATAAATTTTTCTTTATAATAATTTTTTTCTTTTTTTTTTTTTTTTTAAAATGGAATATTATATAAGAGGTTGTTTAACATTTAAATATAAGAATTTATTTCTATGAATAATAATATATGATTTTTTTTTTTTTTTTTTTTTAGTAAAAATTGATAATAATTATATGTTATTTATAGAATTATATTTTTGTTTTATATATATTCTTATTTTAATTCAGTTTTGGAAGAAACTTGTATTATAAATATATTGAAAATAGTTTTTTTTTTTTTTTTTTTTTTTTAACTAAATAAGCATTTTAAAATTTTTTATATTATTTATATGTTTATATATTATAAAAACATTATATATATATGAAATACATTTTTATTAATTTATAAATAATATTTTAAATCTCTTTATTTATTTTATAATGTATTTTATATTTAATTTTAAAAGGGATTTATTAAAAATGTTTATACTTTTATAAATATTATTTTTAAGGTTATTCTGTATAGTTTGTCTTTGTTTTTGTTTTTATTTCTACTTTCTTTTTTTTTATTCTTTATTATTATTTTTTATTTTCAAATGATTAGGAATAATCAAAAAAAGAAAAAATCAAAAATTAAGAGAAAGATTAATACGGCTTCTAATTTAAATGATAAAAATAATGATAAATCAAATAAAGAAAAATGTGTAAGTAACAACAATGCACACAATTTAAGTTTACATGATGAAAAAAAAGAGTTCTGTTTGATTAATAATGATGAAGATTTATTTGAGGATGATAAAAATTTGAAGAAAGAAAAATATTATAAAGAAGAAGATACTTATAAAATAGAAGAAAATAAGGTAAACAAAAATATTAATAAAACAAAAAAAAGTATAAATGATGATGATCAAAGTAATAATGAGAGTAATGAGCAAATAAAAAACCCACATATAATAAATACAAATAAAATAGACACATATAATAATGAGATTGTAGGAGAAAATAAAAATGAAAATAGATATACTATAAATGGTAATAATATAATAAAGAATGAATTAAACTTAAAAAATGATGAGATATATGATATATTAAAGTTTAATAATAAAGATATTGTAGAAGAAAAAGTAGATCATTTATTTCCATTAGTAGAAGTTGATCATAAATCACTCTTATGTCTTAAAGAAGCTGAAGATGATTTTGTTAAAGATATAAATAAAGAAATAGAAAAATTTCAAAATAAGTTTAATGATTTATCATGTCTACAAGATATAAAACAGAACAACAGTAAAAATAATATTGGTATTAAAAAGCAAATAAATAAAGAAAAATTTATAGAAATTAATGAAGATAATGAAAAAATAAAAGTTTCTCCAGTAGAGCAAAGAAAAAATGAAACAAAAACAGAAGTAGAAATGAAAGGAAATGATTTTGATGATAATAATAAAATGATTTTAAATAAAAACATTTTTGAAAAAAAAAATTATAACCTTTCATATATGCAAAGTGAAGGTAATAGTTTTTTAAAACTAAAAAGAAAAATTAAAAAAAAAAAAAAAAAAAAAATGAAAACAAAATACTATCAAGTAATTAGAGATTTATGTTTAATTAAAAAAGAAGAAAACATAAAAAAAAAAGGTAAGTATTATATATTTAATTATAACTGTGGAAATACAAATATTCAATCCATTACAGGATATATTAGATGTTACAAAAATTTCTATTTATATAAAGAGAAAAATAATTGTATAAGAAAAAAAAAAAGAAGTAATATTTATAATATTGAAAATAAAATAAGAATATCAGTTTTACTATGTGTTAATGTGTCTAATTGTATATCTCCTTCAGAATTTTTAGAGTTATTATATCCATATGATTATTTCATATTTTTTTTAAAAGTTTTAAATAAAAAAAATAATGAGGAATATATGATTTATTTTTTAACATTTGATATATATGCTAAAAAAATAATAAAAATAGCAAAAAATATATTTTTTTTTAATACAAAAAAAAAAAAAAATATAAAATTATACCTAGTTAAAGATATTACTATGCACGTTAACTCTAACATAAATAAGAAATGTAAAACTAATATTGTTAGGAAGAAACTTTATAAAAACAAAGAAAAAAGAAAAAAATATATGCATAATAAAGATAAATATATTAATCCACTTTACCTTATATCACAAAATAAATTTCATTTATCATGTGCAGTATGTTTAGAAGCTTTATATTCGGAAAATCTAAGTAAAATTATTTCATATATTTTCAATTTAAATTTTGAAAAACAAATAAAATCAAATAAAAAAAAAGATATAAATGATAATACTTTAAGAAATGAAGTGATGAGGGATAAAAATTATGATTATAATAAAGAAAAAATGAAATTGAAAATAAAAGATAAGAATATGGGGGATATAACATATGATTCTATAAAAAAAGAAAATGATAATTGGGATGGTAATAATAATAATAATAATACTGGTAGTATTAATAATGAAAATTTGCATAAAGAAAATAATGATTTCAATGGAAATTGTAAATCAAATAAAGAGTTTAATATGAATAATGAAATCTTTAAAAAAGAAAATTTATATCCTAACGCTCTAAATAGTTATGTTACTAATGATTATAATTACTATTTATATATTATTCGTTTTATTAGTAATATGCAAAATAAATATAATGATCAAATTAAAAAAAAAGTTAAAAATACAAATAATAAAATGTATAATAATGTTTGTATAAATATTTTATGTAGTCATATATTTCATTCTAACTGCTTGAAAAAATGGTGTTTCACTTCATGTCCTATTTGTAGATATAAACAATATAATTATCAAATCGCTAGTTGTGATATTTGTGAAAAAACACAAAACGTAAAAATTTGTTTATTTTGTGGTTTTATTGGATGTTCAGTAAATTATGATCAACAACGAAAAATGAAAGAAAAAAAAAAAAAAAAAAAAAATTTAAAAAAAAAAAGGGAAATTATAAGAAAAATTTATTGTGTTTTTTCAAGAATAGCTGATGATTTTATAAAAAAAGATGAAAATTTGCATTATTATTATAACATAAAAAAGATTAAAGACAAGAATTATGCTAAAATGAATGAAATAGAAGATTGCAAAAGCAATAGCATAAAAGAAAATAAAGAAAAATTCAATAAAGAGAATTATTTAAAAAAAAAAAAGATAAATGAATATTCTGTCAACCAGAAAGAAATTAATTATAATAGAGAGGAAAATGAAAAACTCTTAAGTGAAGAAAAAAATATTAAAGTTAAGCATTTTAATAATATAGAAAATAGTAGAAATAATAATAACAAAGAAAATAACAAGGACAACAAAATAAATAATTTAATTTATTTAAATGATATTAGAAAGATTATTAAAAAGTTTAGAAATTTCTATAAGTTTATAAGTAAAAAAAAAAAAAAAAAAAAGTGTACAAAAATGGTAGAAAAAATAGAAAATGTAGAAAATAACTATTCATTCACAAAATATCAATTAATAAAAAATAATTGCGAGAAGAAACATTTCCAAAAAAAAAAAAAAAAGAAAAAAAATATCGTTGATCATGCAAAAATTCATTTTTGTAAAACTAATCATAATTATTTTTTTGATGTTTTAAAAAATTCTGTATATGATTATAGTAGTTATTTATATATTAAAAAATTAATAAATTTAAAAAATGAAAATAAAAATTTAAAAAAGATATACTCTGGAAACATATATATTAGTGGAAAAGAAGAAATTATAGATAAAAAAAATATAATTATGTATATCTATGAATTTAATCAATTATTAAGTGCTTTATTAGAAAGTCAAAGAGATCACTTTTTGTCCTGTATTTATGATTTAAAATTAAATTATGAAAAAATTAATAAAGAAAATATAATTGAAATAAATAAAAATATAAATGAAATGAAAGTTTTAAAAGAAAAAAATAATAATTTAAAAAGTGATCTTAATAAAAAAATAAACTTACTTCTTGATAAAGTTCAAACAAATGATGGGTTGTTGCAACATTTAAGAAATGTAGAAATTATAAATGAAAAATTATGTGAGGAACAAAAGAAGGAAATTTGTGAATATGAATTTAAAAAAGAAAATAACCAAAAAATCATAAAAGAAAAACAACAAATAATAAGAGAATTAAGACAACAAGTATGTGATAAAAAAAAGAAAAAATCGTATTTAAAAAAAAAATTATGCTAACATACCTTGTCAAAATTTTATTTATTTCCATCTCATTATAATTTTTAGTCTAATTATTTTATTTTATTTTATTTTTATAATTTATTTTAATTCATCATTTTTATTATTTTATTATTTTTTTTTTTATAGATATTAGACTTAAGTTTTCACAAACAGGCATCTTCTAAATTTTCTCAAAATTCAGAAATCAAAGTAAGATTTAAACAAATAATTTCATTATATATATATATATGTTTTATATATGTAAATTTTAAGATTAACTTAATATAATTTTTTTGTTTTTATTTATTTAATGAATTATTTATATGATTATTTTGAACTTTATATATAATTACTACTTTTTCTTTTTTCTTTTTTAGAATTCATCATTTATGATTGGAGAAAAAATTATGCAAAAAAATAGGTTTAAAAGAAAATAATAATTTATTAATTGTAATTAATTTTCATTTACATTTAATTTTAATTTTTTTTTTTTTTTTTTCATCCTTTTTTTTAGTACATTTGTTTTTTATTTTATTTCATTTTTTTGTACACATTTGTTTTATATTTTCTTTTTTTTTTTTTTTTTATGTATTAGTTGATATGTTTTTCTTCTTCTTTTTTTTTTTTTTTATTAAACATTTGGGTTTTTATTTAAGAACCAATGTACATTTTTTTTACGAATTTTTTTTTTCATTTGTTTAAAACTTTTTTCTTCTAATAAAATTAATTTTTTATAATTTTCACTAAATAGCTTATTTTCTAAAAATAATGGTAATAAATCTTGTATATTATATTTATTTAAATCTAAATTAATATCATAGAAATGGTGTTCTAATTTATTTCTTTCCTCTAAATTTTTTAATTCTTCCATTTGATTTTTTATATTGGAATTCATTATAGATGATTTAATATTATTTTCAATAAAAATGTTAAATGATTTTCTAAAAAACATAGAATCAAATAAGTTATCACCGGGATAAAACCAATTAATATTGCATTTTACTGATGTGTTACTAGTCATAGATGATAAAATTATATTAAAAATAATATTTATATTAAAATGGGTAATGTTATAAAAGTAAAAATGATATTTATATTTTTCAAAAACGTAATGTCTTAATGCATATTTATATTTGAATGGTGATTTCAAATAGGTATATCTATACTGCTCTCTTTTTCCTCTTTTGCCAATTATATGATTTATTTTATATTTTAATATATAGGTATTTTTATCATTCATAATATTTTTGTTTAAATAATTTTTGTTAATACTATTCTCATCAGATATATTTTTATTATTCTCTTTTAAATTGTTATAATCTTTATTTATATTATTAGAAATAGGTAACTCACTATTTTTCTCATTATTTAAATTCAATGGGTTAATCAAGTTTAGTATATTCAAAATATTTTCATCAATTTTAACATTAAATTGATTTTTGAAATTTTCTTCATCTTCATTCATGTGGTAAATAATATTCTTACAACTATAATTATTATATGTATAAATATTCTTTTTCAAATTTTCTATAGTTTTTATCATTTCACTTCTTCTCCTACTAAGATATGTAACTTTAACATATTTCAAAAAGTAATTCTCTATTCCCATTTTCAAAAAAACATAAAAAAAAAAAAATTATAAATAAATTTTCATTGTATACATATATCTTAAAAAGAAGAAATTTTTATGACTTATATATTTACACTTATTAAGTTAATTAAATTGTGATTAATAAGGAAATTCAAAAATTACACTTATAAAGAAAAATAATAAACATATATATTCTTAATCTTTCTTTTTTTTTTTTATTTTTTTATAATTAAAACTTGCAAAAAAAAAAAAAAAAAAAAAAAAAAAAAAAAAAAAAAATAAAA